AGTGATTTACCAAACAAAAAAAAGGAACAAAATTAAAGTGGAACCTCAGGAGAATTCCTGGCGGAAACAAAAACAAAAGATAAATAAATTACTTCAGCAGGCGTCTTTTCCTTCGCGTGCCCAAAAGCCCAAGAGGACCGCTTGTGTACATTTATTGCCTGCGCTGAAAAAAAAAGTAAAAAAAAAAGGACCGCCGTGATCCACAAGCCCGCACATCCCTCCCACACTTCGTGCGGCATGCGGCCTGCGCTTCAACGCGTCGGCTGCGTCGTCAGTGGGGCGCACAGCAATGCGGCCGCCACCCATGACACAGCGCGTACGGCAAACGGCCATTGGAGCAGAAAACAAAAAGCAAATAAAAAAAGAAAGAAAAATGGCTGCTGATTGTCCCAGAAGGGCATCGGCAGCAAGAAAAACAAAAACAAACAAAAAAGATGTGTAAATGAAGCGAGTCGCGGTCGGTACTGCAGCACACACTTTCCAAGCGGAGTCGCAACTGCACTCTCCCTTTTACGCAGCGGAGAGGGCGGCAATGCCCCACAGCCCCAGCAGGGCCAGCAGCACCACATGAGGCAAACACCCACCCACGGCGTTGTCGCTGCTCTCTTCATCGAGCCTCACGCCAGTAATGTTCCTGAAGGTAGCGGAGACGTTGCCAGAAAGCGGTGCCGCGTTGCGTGTCGGGGGAATCGCCTGAGGTTCGGGTGGAGCAGTTTTATTAGCCGGGGCGTTGTCGGCTCCCTGCGACGCCTTCTTATTGTCTCCATTCGACACCTCAGCTGCGCCAGGCGGAGAAATGTCGCTTGTGTCCTTCGCGGGAGCCTGCCCGGCGTCATTGTTTGCAGCAGAGCTGCCGCCTGGGGCCACCGCCGCTTCAGGTGCAGCGGCCTCCGCTTCGGGGCCAGGCGTGTGCTTCTCACTGGGGTTTGCAGCTCCGCTTGCTGCGGCGCCAGCGCCTGGTAGAGCGGCACCTGCTGCGTTATCGTTTGTTTGCTCCTTCGCAGCTTCTCCCTCCTTCTCACCACTCGACGGCGGCGGTGGTTGTGGTGCCCCCGCAGGCACCGGAGGGTTATCCCCGGCGTCATTGTTTGCAGCAGGGCTGCCGCCTGGGGCCACCGCCGCACCTGAAGCAGTGGTCTCCGCTTCGAGATCGAGTGTTTGCTTCTCACTGCCGTCTTCGGGTTCATTTGACGGCACGTCTTCGTCTTCAACCTGAGGCTGACTGCTTTGCTGCACATGGTTCCCGTCGGGCTCGTGCTGCGAAGGGACGTTTTCAGCGGCATCCGCCTTACCGTCGCCGTGTCCATCAGCATCAGCGCTCACCTTCGACGATGAAGGCGGCGGAGGCCCCAATTCAGCGCCACCACGCGGCCCTTCTTCCTCCTCCTCCACCTCTGCTTCCTCCTCCTCCTTTTCACCAACCACTCTTTCAGAGACGCCACCTTCAGGAGGCAGCCCAACACCACCGTCGACTTTATCATCATTGACTTCGTCTTCTTCATTTGATGAAGGCAGTGTTTCCTCATCTTGCGCCGCCGATGGCTTGCCGGGTTCCTGTGGCTGGCTTTGTTCAGTTGTTGGGGGCCGGGGCGCTGGAACTGATGACGAATTTTCCGGTGCCTGAGAGTCATCCCCACCATCATTCGTGTCAGCGGCGTCCTGGTCGGCATCAGAAGGTTTTTCCCAATCG